GAGAAGGACCTGGGAGTGCTGGTGGACAACAAGTTGAGCATGAGGCAGCAATGCGCCCTTGTGGCCAAGAAGACCAACGGTCTCCTGGGGTGCACTAGGCAGAGTGTTGCCAGCAGGTCGAGGGAGGTGATCCTGCCCCTCTGCTCAGCCCTGGTGAGCCCCCACCTGGAGTACTGTGTCCAGTGCTGGGCTCCCCAGCACAAGAGAGTCATGGAGTTCCTGGAACGAGTCCAGTGAAGGGCCACTAAGATGATGAAGGGACTGGAGCATCTCTCCTATGAGGAAAGGCTGAGAGAGCTGGGACTATTCAGTCTGGAGAAGAGAAGACTAAAGGGGGAATCTTATTAATGTGCGTAATTATCTGAAGGGAGGTAAAGAGGATGGGGCTAGACTCTTTTCAGTGGCGCCCAGTGACAGGACGAGAGGCAATGGGCACAAACCGAAACACAGGCAGCTCTGTCAGAACATAAGGAACAACTTTTTTACTGCAAGAGTGACTGACCATTGGAACAGATTTCCCAGAGAGGCTTGGAGATATTCAAAAGCCATTTGGATAGGGTCCTGGGCAGCTTGCTCTCAGTGACGCTGCTTGAGCAGGGAGGTTGGACTAGATGATCTCCAGAGGTTCCTTCCAACCTCAACTGCTCTGTTATTTTGCGATTCTTTTTCTTACAAAGTGTAGAGAGCAACAGACCTCCATGAGGTCTGACAATACCGTATCCCAAGTCACAAAAAGGATGAAGTACGGGCATTACATGAAGCTGGGAACTTCTGAGTAGAATGGAAAATATGCTAGGCAGTACTGGCCAATGATGTTATAACAAGGAAATTACATGGTACTTTCTTTTAAATCCTATCAGTAATTAACAAAGACGAAGGAAGCTACTGTTCATGTGACAGAGGAAAAAAAACTGCATGATACTGGACTGCAGTTCTGGACCAGAGGTCTGAAGTCAATCACATCAGACCCTGAGAACAATCTCTACAAAGTAGATGGACATTAAAGAGTAGACAGAGCTGCATTATTTTCTTAACTGTGTTCTTTAGTTCTCTTCTGAGGAAAAAGATGAAAAAAAGGCAAGGAAATTTTAAGGGGAGCACAGAGGCATGGCAACATCTGCTCCTCATTTTAGCAGAAAGACAACTGATTCCTGTGTGTGTTCACTGCAGGAACCTTTTGTGGCCAGAGCTGCCTCTTTCTTCTGATTTATTCATATATCTGCAAATCACCTGTGGTGAGCGAAGAACCGATTAGTATGGATTACTGGAACTATTCACTGCAGAAATGCCAAGCTACCTAATGATGACTTATAATATCAGTCCTGCTGTTGGAATAAATTTGCTGTTCACCAATTAATGTTGTACAATTCCTATTAAACACATACTATAATTCACAAAATGTATTAATAAGCTTGCTCAAATACCAGACCACAGATGCGGCTCACAAGAGGGCTTTTAAGGTCTGATCTCTGACAAATGCTGAGCCTGCACAGCCCCATTAAAGTCACTGGAAAATGTATGTGCCAAGCATTGCTTAGAAGCAAGCTCTTTCATTGCTGTCCTGTATTTAGACAGGAATCAACCATCTTCTGTATTTGGACAGGACTAACACTCACAAATCAAGCAGGGTATCTTATCTTTCCCATCATTATTCACATTATGCTTATTCCATGCACCTACACTGTATTCTGCAAGATATTTTCAAACTACTACATCTTCTCTGAAATCAGTTCTGCACAGTGCTTCAGTTCTTTCCCATATTACTGGTAAACATACACTAGGAATCCTCCAAATCGTTCTTTAAGAAATCTAAACTGTTCTGAATCTCTGTAGAAGACTTCAGCAATCCACTAATACAAAAATCAACTCAATTTTTTGCAACAGCAAAATATATGTTAAATTTTACATGTCCTTACCTCATAACAAAAAAAGCCCATAAAACTTTAACGTAGCTGTTCACTCATGTTCTCCATGCTTTACCTTCTAATGTCTGTCACTCAAACAGCTCTGAAGACAACTATGATATTATATCCCAACAAAGTCTTTCCTAAGTAATCAACTATTATCAAAACAGATGGTGCGCAGTAAAAGGAATAACCATATAGCAACCCTTGGACAAGAAAAAGCATCAGTTTTAAAGCTGCAAAGCAATGCTAGAGCTAATCTTGATAAGGCTGCCTGAATGACTGAGTTTAGATAAGTCAAAAGTGAACAGATCAGCTGCCCAAAAAATATCAAAAGGCACAGCCCTATAGCTCCCATTTATGTATACAGTTAATGCAGACAAAACAAACTAAACACAGCCAGTCTAAACTAAAAAGAGAGAAATGCAATGTCTAGCCTTAACATTGTTCTTAAACAGTGCATTCAACTATTATTTTTGCCGGTGTAAAATTACCTAATGCTTGTTAATGTCATCTCTTAAAAATAAACCTGTATGTTTTGGGAGGTGGGGGTAGGGGCTAGGCAGATGGAGGAGGGATTCAGTCATCAGTTTTGATGCATTATGAAGATAATAATAACCATTCCTAGCTATACTGTGAGGAAAGAAGAAGGAGCTTCGTAGGTTGTCCTAAAAAAGATAAATTGGCCTCTGCCATTACAGGGTGACGAACAACAGCAATGACTTCTCTAGTACAGCATGACGGCACTACTCTCTCTGTTTCTAAGGAAGTTGTTTAGCCAATTGCATTACCATTATACAGAGAATGAGGCAGTCTGGGGAATTGCTTTCTATACAGTTTAGGAATTCTATAGGACTTTATGAAATTGCTGCATCAATGAACATATAAAAGTGATTACCTGCTACGAGAACGGATTTCGAATCCGTCTCAAATCAGAAGCAGTGGAGACAAACCCAGAGAGAAGGATCAAAGAAATCACATTAAGACTGGCTCTTGAAAACTTAGGAAAGCGGTAAGTTTTGCATGTATGCAAACTAACATGTTTTCTGAGATCTGAGGAGTTTTTCTGGACAAAGGAGCCCATGCTGAGGAGCTGGAGAGTGACAACCAGGACAAGCAAGAGAAGACTGAGATGGAGGCTGGAACTTTTCAGAAGGTTGGACACCCTACATTTGGTTTTCTAAATTCCTATTTTCTATTTTCATGTAATCTCCAAAGAATTAAGTTGTAAATTAGAGTATTAGCAGGGACAGATCTATGGGACAACGCTTGTCTGACACTAAGGCAAAGCAGAGATCCTGCACTAAAACACTGCTGTTCCACCCTGATGAATGGGCACCAGACAGAGAGCCACCTCCCAAGGACAGAATCTGATCATGTATTTCACCAGCAGCTTAAATTAATCAAGGTGAGATTATTCCTAGAAGACTCAGTCTATCTATCTTCCCCACCACGGCTAAATCCTTTCCTCGTCACATACACTGTTATATCACTTTTCTCATCTGCCTGATTTTTTTTTGCTAGCTGTCAGTTGAATCAGCTCACAAATTTGAGTCATCCCATATTCACAAAATCATTAAAAATCCTTAAATCATTAAATCACACATAGGGGTGAAAGAGAAGGAATTAACACCTTTTCACTGGCAGCTAACAATTTCACTGGCTTAAGTCAACTGTTAAACAACAACCTCAGAAGTTAAAGATAATGCCTAGAACCCATTCAATCTCAAAGGAACCCAGAAGCTGTCCTGTGAGAATAATTTTTTTTTAAACTATAATTGAATATTTTCATTTTTGAGTTGAGGGAAAGGAATTCTGAATGAATGAAGCCATTTGAACCCTTAAAAATTTTTGGAACTTTCTAAAATAAAAACAGTTGAAGTGTAAAAGTTCTGTATTGCAATATGAAAAAAAAAAATCTTCTGCTCTTTGTCCCCTCTTCCCCTAAACTACTTCCCTCCAAAACTGCCTGTCAAACTAAAGAATAGCTTGGATTTTCTGGAAGCAGTATTTTTTCTAAACTAAACTATTTCATCACTAAAATCATCTAGCTCAGCTTGAAAGCACATGGTTTAAGTAGCAGGCTGCTGAAGGTCCCATAGTAGGGTCAGAAAGTCAAAGACAGACAAAGAAAATGGGTAGCAAGGGTCCACAACACTTGGACTTCAAAACTAACTTGAGTGGTTTCATCTTAAAACTACATCCGCATGTGCAGACTACAGAGAAAAAGCATAATATGCTCTCTGGCTAAAATACTAAATTAGCAAGCAGGCAATCACATTCTGTGGTAATATCAGTGTCCAGATGGTCTTAGATGTAGAAAGCTTCTGAAAATACCTACAGAGCAGCAAAGAAGCAAGTCATATGCTGCACATCATTATATAATCATATTAATTTCCACATGAGATGCTATCAGTCACTATGCAACTTTTGAAAGAAGAAATAAATCCAAGAGATGTTTACAATGTCATTATTTCACTGTTTCACAACTGATAACTCTTAAGGATTGTATTAAGATTGCAATCAAAACAAAGGCTACAAAGGAAGGGAAAAGGGTAAGCCCAAGAGACCGAAGGACTTACAAGGAATGATATGTCAACTTACTTATTTTAAAAATATATCCTTTTCTCTTCCTCACCTACAGGAACTCACCCTTTCTGCAACATCATCAAAGCTTACAAAGTTTCAAGACTAAGAGGTAAGCTGAAGGAAGAGTGGGAGGAATAATGGACAAGAAGGCTTTAGTCACGTAAGCATAAACAACCAGAAAGGAATTTGCTTCAGCAAAACATACCCTCAAACTGTTAAGATAAAACAGTCTTATGATATGCAGAGGGTTGTCTTTGTTACTAAGAGTAACAAAAAGTACTGAGAATAGCTCATGTTTAATCATCCACTGTTGGCAAAGTCAAGGATGATTTAACACATACTCGTTTGCTTCGGTTTCTCAACAAGGGTCTTCCTACCCTTTATGATTATTTGCTCCAGTGTTTCAGAAATCTCTCACATCAGAGACCAGTGTAAAAAGTAGGTTAGTTTAAAGCTTCTCGAGGTACAGTGATCAGACCAGCAACTCTCAAGCATGTAACAGCATAGCGGCACACACTGAGAAGGAAGCCAATGAGGTGGCATTTTTCCTTCTGCTTCCACAAGAAGAAAAAACTTCTCTTGCTTCTTCTTTCAATTCAAACAATGCTTGTTTTGAACAGAGGAAAAAATTGTCTGCTATACAAACACTTTCCTGAAGCTAAGTTTGTCTGATGATAATATAATTCAAATACTTACCTGCAGATAAAGAGGGAGGCTTTCCTGAATGGCAGTCAGCAAAGCCACAGGCAGCTCTTTGTCTTGCTGGAGCACAGAGTGCGGCAACAACAAGCAATCTATGATGCGGAAGAGGAGCTGCTGTGCTTTGGAAGTAGCCAGTATTGGTGCCCAGAACTTTACAAGACATCCTGTTGGAAAACAAACCCAAACGTAGTTTCAAGCACAGCAATGAGGTCTCCAAATTAATAAAAACAAGTCATTAGGAACTTAGTTAGATAATCCAAGAGTAACAATAGCAACTGAAATGCTCATGCCCACGAACTCTTTCCACGGTACTTGCCCAGAAAAAGCCCAGTGAAGATGATCTGAAGTCCATTTATGGTTCAGCAAAATGAAAGCACTAAATTGTTTTAATACATTAAAAGTTCTTATGCAAGTGAAGTTGCTTTAGGAAAAGTACAGTAAAGCTTTTTAAGAAAGAACAGTTTCTCACATCTCTGCAGGAAAATTAATTAACAGTGGAACATACAACTATTGCATATGGCACATGTGCACTTACAAACACTTACTTTTCTGTGCGCATTAATCATATTTTACAGAAAGACACTGCCTTTGTCTTCCATTCACATTTGTCTAACTATACTGTGGCCACATCAGCGACTATTCACACAGAGATTCAATGTTAGAAAAACCTTAAATTTGTTTTAGCTCTATTTAACGTTTTTAATTTAGCAAACTAAAAGGAACAAGGTGCAGTCAACTCAACAAAAATAGCATCTTCTCTCCAGATTTTTGTGGGCTCTCAGTCCACAAATTGTGAGTCTTAGAGAACATCTTTCTTGTTTTCAGCAAATTAATGTATTGCTTGCACAACTTTAGCCAGTTTTAAATTCTAATTTTTGAGTTGCAAAAAACTGTAAAAAGGTGTTCATGTGTAAATACCCTGACTTACAGAAACACCTTTATTACAAGTGAGATGCATTTTTTCTTGAGAAAATAACTGCATACTCAAGAGTTTTAATACTCAAAACACAGATGAAATAATACGGGGTGTCTAATTAAATAGATTCTTATGTTGCAGTTTTCACAAACACGCTTGAGTGTATATTTAATTAGAAGCAAGAAAAAGTTTGCTGGGTGGAAAACATAGGAATATCTCAAGAAAATAAGTTTAAGACTTAGTAAATAATGAAAGATCAAAAAGAGCTTGTTACAAGGTATTATTAATCTATAAAAGTCATCCCATCCCCATCTCTAAAAACAACGAAAAACAACATTAATCTTGTGGAGTGAAAGAAAACACAATGATCAATCATACAGAAAAAGAATGAACACTTAACAATACTTCTAATAAGGTTGTCTAAGCTCCTTGTTTTGAAAGAAACACGCTCATTCAGATTGAACGCGCTCCTTTTAGTACCACTGCTGTGATGTACGGGGCAGCAGAAGACACAATCCGATATGTATAGCGTCCATAGCTGGGAAGTATTTAGATTTGTTAAGTATCTTTGCCCCTATAATTTCACAACATCACAGAACATTGAAGAAGTGACTGAAATACCCCTAAATAATTTTGTAAAGCCTTTTTTTTCCTCACCTAAAAAGAAAGAACAATATCAATCTAAAAGTACTTTACAAAGTTCCACCATCTGGACATGTGAATGCATTTAATTTGACATTTATCTTGTAGGGCAAAATCTTGCAACAGAAAAGTAAGGCATTTTATAAAATTCAAATTCCAGCACATTTGATGCACCTTCGGTGTTGTGGTCATGCTGTTCACTGTACTCCTCATAATCAGCATGTACACTGTGTTTACATGCATATTATTACCTATATCTTTAAGATACATAAGCTTTACCCTATTATTTAAAGATAAGCGGGTCAGATTCATTCATAACAAACACCACCATTATTTTTGCGTCCTATTACTGGTTCTACACAGTAATGAAAGGGATGCTAGAATATGAGTTTTAACAAAGCAGAGAGTATATAAGAGGAGGAGTTCTAAAAGGATGCATGTTACCATATGACATTTCTATTTTGCATAAGCAGACTTGTCCACTATCATGACTCCAGTAAACATAATGTAGCATTGCATAATACTACTTCACTGAGTTGCTGTTGTTACTGGTTTTATTTAGATAACTCTTTTCAGTGATGAAAGACATGAAAACCTGCTTTCGAATGAAAGTATAATTTTGCAGGGGTCATTTCAAAAACCACAAAGAGTTTAGGTTTTATAGCATCAGCATAAAACACAAAGAAAGTCAGTGGAATAAAACTAAGCATCTAACTGTAATGTCTTGGTGACTTTGCTTTTTTAAACCATTTAAATAGACACTACAGAAAACAAAAGTATGAAAAGTCATGTACATTCCTAAAAGATGAGAAGTTGCAAAACAATTACCTATGATCCAGTAAGTAAGCTGGAGACCTTCTGGAGGTCCTTTTACCTTCAGATAAGGTTTCACGTACTTTAACACATCACCTAAATATTCCAGACTCTTTGCTACCATGGCAGATTTTTCAGGGAGTGTCTGAAGGCCACTATAAGTTCTACCAACAGCCTGAGAAAACAAAGACATTGAAATAAAGATTGGATTAAACTTATTAACTCTCACGAGGCTTGGGTGAGGAACAACTTCTTGAACACAAAACGGAAATCTTCTATGTCATTTCTTTTCACTTAAACTATCTTAGGAGCTAACACAAAGGTACAGTACCTTAATGAATTGGACAAGCGCATTTTTAGGGTCTTGCTTGAATACTGACTCTTCAATATGAGCCTTTGAGATAATGTTTTCTACTTCTTTGAGTTTAAAAACCAGTCTCGTCATTTCAGTCAGCTGCTCCATATAGACTTTGCCTGATTGTTACAAGAGAACATAATAATAAATGTAGTATACAGTTATGCTTGCGTGCTGCTTTTCTATTTACTTTATTCACAAAAATATAAAGTAAAATATGTTTTTAAAATGTCCAAAACACAAGTATTTGGCAACTGACAGCACTTTTCTAGACAAAGAATGTGTGAATCTAATACAGATTTACGAGAATAAAGAATATTAGGGATGGATAACCAAGTCTTTCATTTTGCTGATGGTTTTCTTACAAATCTACAAAATGTGCATGAAAAATAGTTGCTAGAAGATGTGTTCTACAGATAATTAGAACTGCAGTGTTTTGCAGAAAGAAGTGAAGAAGTATTGCTCACTACATAATGAGAAAGAAGCTAAGGAAAGCAAAATATCCAACATAAAATAGGAAAGAATTATTCACAATTGGATTTTTTTTTTTTCTTTTAGGGCATTCACAGCATGATTTCTGACTATTTACTTCAGATTTTCACTTTTTTTCAGAGCAGTTTCTCCATGGGGGGAAAAATAGCTTGTCTCCTTGGGAGCAAGTTTTTGTTCTTTGCTTCCAAGGAAACAAGCTCTTTTATCTTTGTTTGTGATAAATTTGTCATATGCAGAACAGGCAAACCATCAATAAATAGCACAAGCAGCATAAAGAAACACATTTTGTAATTAGGTAAAAGTAAAGGAATACAAACAAAAATACATTTTATAATTAGCTGAAAATGTTTGCCAGTTTTGCAATATAGAATCGTTACTGCAAACATTAGGGAAATGTGAACACTTACCAACTGTTCGCTCAGCATCTGTCTTGGCCAGCATACCAGTCGGTTGATCTATGAACATTTGCAAAACGCATCGAAACCAGGAACGCACTGTCAAAGCTTCATAGGATGTGTAGCCCATACTAGAAAAAGCTTCATGCAGTGCACTGCATAGGTAGAAGGGGAATAACAGGCAAAGATATTTAAGATGCGTGAAACGGTGGCAAAAAGTTTCATTTGGCTCTAGACATACAGAAACACTGCATATAAACAATTAGAAATAAAATAACAGAAAAGGTAAATTGCTGCTCCTTTTGAATGCTCTATAGATTTTGCTCACAGTACACTGACGCCTAAATACAGAGAACGTGATAAATTCTGCAATGCCATCTATGGTAATTTAAAGTATACTTACAAATATGTCCATATGTTTTCTTGAGGTAAAACAAAACAGAGAGAAAAGAATTCATACAACGTGGAATTTCTTATTCTAACAAAAAATAATCTAAACTGCTAATAAACCGCTGATACACAACACTGGGAATAGTTTGTCTGAATCAACTTGGAACTTTACACTGACACTACTTAAACTACCCCAGCCTTTCGTCTAAAGCTAGCTCAGGTACCCCTGTGCTACTCTGAAGTCTACTTAGTCCTAACCCTACGTAAAAAGATGGAGAAGAGAAGGTCTACTTTAGGAAATAAAGACATGTCTGATCAGAAGAGTCTTATTAGAAACAGTTCAAAAAGAAAAACATAAAAAGGCAACCTGGAGATGACACAGGAGACTGCTATACTTGCTAAACACTTACAAATGTATATACGTATGCACATGTGTATATATACATACATGCAAATATTTATGCACACACACAGAGCACACTTGCTATGCATACTTTCAAACAAACGCTTGCTACTGTTCTACCAGCCAGCTGTCAGGCCAGAATCAATGGCACCACCAACACTCAGCGCACAATCGGTCTCCTTTACTCTTCAGTATTCCCCAATTTTTACTTCCTTTATCACTGTGACTACCTACTGTAGTCACTTTTTCCCAAGCATATCAGCACCATCTTATTAATTCTGCAGAAACTCCTGGCTAATGGACGGACAGGTCTGTTCTGCACCCTCGCTGCAATTCCTATCGGATGAGCTCTGTCTGTATGTGCTTCAGGTCAGTAAAATTTCTTGAAAACAGTTACACCTTTTTATTTGAGAGATTTCCTCCCTCGTCAGCCCTAGGTGCTTTGACTTTAATGAAAAATGCTTGTACTCTTTTCTTGATATATGTACATATAAATCTACTTATTTTCTACTGAATTTTTACTCATGCTTGCAATAGAGAGTCAACACTGGTCCAGACGACCAAACCGAAGTCTATTTCTCAGTGAGCAACATTAATAAAGATTTTTTCTTTATTTCTTTTCGCGTTAGTTAGAACAAATGACATCCGTACGTTTTGTATGAACATCCCTGCAAAGTGCTACTGACAAAATAAATTAGGAGACAAAACGCAACCAAATAGAACGCAAAAATGAAAATTAAATGCCCGTACCAAAAACCAAAAAAAAAGGATGCTTGTGGATTTTTGCAGTAAGGCATAAACAACAACAACAACAAAATCCAACCCTTACCTAAGATGTACGCAGCTAGTCTGTTTGGCCCAATAAGCACACAAAAACACTTTCTGCTGTAGTCTCACTCTTATTTCTCTTGCTTGCAGGTACACAGGCCACTTATGTATTGCCCTAGAACTGGATAGGAATACGCTCCCAACCCTTCAGAAAGGAATGAACATTAACTACTTGCTATAAGCATGGCGAGTGGTGCATTTACATCAGTAAGCTTATACACATGCTCAAAGTTAGGTTCAACAGGTTGTAATAATATCATGTGCTACACAACACTGACCTAGAGAGGAATTTTTAGGCAGTATTGCAAAAGAAATACCCAAGCTTGTGCAGATGTTCCCAAGGGCACAACTTGTCCTTCAGAACCTTTATTATTGATATTAAAGTAGCTGATACGCAGAACATAGGTTCAATCCTAAAGAGACCGGGCTGAGCTTGCAGGGTATATAACAGCATCAGCAACAAAATAATCTTTTTATTTTTTAACTGAGAATGTTTGATGTTGAAAATTATCACAGCACAGTAACCATGAAGTCTTAAGATCCCAGCACTTAGACACTTTGATAACTTTTGCTCTACAACTGCCTAAGGTAAATAAGTACATGAATCATATTACAAAAAAATTGTCATCTTTTTAGTATACAATGAAATGACAATGTTTAGAATATAACAGATTTGTATAATTCTACCAAAGCAGAATTAGGTATTAATTGTCCTTTTACAAGGGAACCTGAGCACCTAACCACTCTCTTGATGAGGAAGGGAAGTACCTTTGCCCAAGCTTAGATATTGATGTTTTTGCCTTGATGGGGACACACGCAACTGATGGGGGAAACAATGCAGGTGATCACAACCCCAGTATGTTAGGAGCAAAAGTATCTGGTTCAGTCTGAGTGCTTTCTGTCCCATGCTCACTACACCCAGCAGCGAGAGATTCATCAAAGAAGAGAGGGAGAGAAAAGAGAAAGAGAGAACATACACACACATATAAGCAAAAGGCAAATATCTGTCATTGCTGAACTATGGAGTCATGCTTTCTCCTGCTAGTTCTTTCGACATAGACCCATAAAGTAGATATTTTCAGTCACCCCATGGCCCAACCTTCAAGAGGAGGGCAAGATCCTCTCATTCCTTTTTAAGGCAGCGTTTTGAAATAAAGTTTTGAATTCCCTCTAACTGCAAGACCCACTTAACTTGGGTCTTCCAATTCTTGCAGAAGTTCTCTAACCGCTTGACTAGCATGCACAAGGCACAACTATCAGTGCTAGCTGCACTTTTAAATAGAACTACAGCAGCAGGGCTTTATGGGGGACTCTTTATCAGCCATGTGTGCATGCTCTGCCCTCGCTAACTCAATCAGGCTCCCAAACACTTGAGAACAGGTATACTTAGGCTGTGGTTTCAAATACAGTAAATGTATTTTTGCCTCAGCCAGGATGGCAATATATCTGCAGATACACATATAACAATACGTTAGGCACTTAATTAATGCTACTAATGACAACTTAAGTAACTACTTTCAGTCACTTCAGTGCTTATTAGGGAAACTGGTAAATAGTCTTAAGCACCTAAATTACACCAAAATTTCAGTTTAGGCATCGAAGTGCTTTTCCTGATCTTACTTGAAGAGCAAAAACCTCAAATTACAAACGGTTATTTATGTACCTAACTCCTATTTCGTTCAGCACGAGCTCGGTATCTGAAACTGTGCACGAATTTGACCCTATCATACAAGACGACTGAACGCTCATCTCCAGAGCTCCAAACCGACACTCTAACACCCTCTTTTAACATCTCCCTGCAAGAAGCACATAGACTCTTATTTGCCAGTAACACTGATACAGTCTTTACCATAGCCATAACCTCTACCATAGCTTTCTTATTTAGTACAATATGTGCCCTCAAACATGTGCAATATTTTTCACTTTCAAATACAGTCCACAAAATAAACACTCCCTCTCTTTCTCTCTCACCTTCCCTGCCTCCAAAGCCTGATTCAGTTACAAAAAAAAAAGCCCATCTTAATTAAATAAAGCCTACTTAAGGCAATAAAATTTCTTTATTTAAAAATAAACATAGGTATGCAAAACACAGGCATGTGATACATACTGTAATCCCACTATTTAATTTAACATCCATTTAGCAGGTCTCAGAAATCCGAGCAGTATGAACAATAGGAACATTAACATGCACTCAAAAATTAGCCTAAGATTGACAAAAAGAAAGTTTCAAAGCATGCATTTCCTTATAATCATTTTCTTTAAGTTTTGGATACTACCCAGCCCATCCTCCTGCAAAAGTTCTTTGTTTTGAATAAGTCAAGATATTTAAATATTAAATACTTATCATATAATATCTTTAGACTTCTATAATAATATTTATCTTGACTTTTTATGAAAAGATTTAAGTTTTAAACACTTAAGTGCAAATGTTATGAGAAAAATAAAGACCAGTGTGTTTAACTAGAAATTTTAGATTTTACCAAGTTACAACATTCAACTCTTTTTTAAACTGCAGCTAAGGCAGGAGGCTGTTGCTTTGTCAAACTATCAACACTGCCAAAGTGTAACAATAATAGAAGGGGACAGATGGTTACCACTACGGAAACTAAAAATAAGTTATGGGTCCAGGCATTTCACTTTGGTGTAGTCCTAGTCTTCAGAAGAGTACTACTCTGGAGACATTGTTTAGGTCCCCATTTTTCAAAATCTATTCATAATAACACTGTTTCCATTTGGAAAAAAAAAGTAGCTTGCTATATAAAAGACCTACAACTTTTGTAAAATACTTAGCTATCTTCCTGAGAATTTTGGATTACCTTAAGCTATCTATATGCAACAAACAAACAAACAAACAAAACAGACCAGCCAACACAAATAACACTGACTACCCCTGTGAAATGCATAGAGGACAAAATAATTTCAGGAAATCTAAAACATTCACAGATGCGAAGAACCTGGACCACCTTAATGAAACATTACTGTTTGAAGCAACCTTTTCCATAACTTTGATGACGAAATGAGAAGATGCTGGAAGAACTTGAAAGAAAAGGAGGGGCAATTTTTCACCTGTTTTGTATTAGGTGACTTAGATATCTTGACACCAGCTGAGGCCACACCATGTCATCCCATCCAAACAACTGCATCATTGATAGAACAGGCTGTGGCTGAAGATCTGACAGAGCTTTGCTGGGCATGTCCAAAGCTAAGAGAGTAAAACCTGGTTTTAAACAGAGAAAAACATGGCACAGTGTTAATGGTTTCTGTTCCACTAGAAAGCATTGAAACTTCTTGATTATTATTAATATGGTGCTGTTCTGGAAGTACCAGAAATCTCAATGAAAACTGGGCAACTATGGGCAACTGTGCTTTACAAGGTTTTATTTATCTACTCGCTTATTTTTACACAATTCTCTCAGCGAAGAACGGTATTTGGAAACGTATGGAGTCAGTAAAAGTCGGCACCTTTCTAGTTTCAGAATAAACTTTCATATATCAGAGGCTACTGTGTAAATATAGCACTAAGGACAAAGTTACTCTTGAAAAAAGAACAGCTGCAGATCTAGCAACTGGGATAGTACTTGGCACAGAATTTTTGCTAATGAGGTATAACCTTTTGCTGTCCTACTAGGTCCATTGTGGAATATACATCCAATACTAACAGCATAAAAATATGACTCGTTCTTTATGCTGCAAATGACAAATGCATTTAAACTCAGGAAGATGACATAATCGGAAATGCTGAGAATTATTAGGCTACAGGAAATGAGTGGCATCAATGAATCAAGGAAACTGACTTTCAAAGAGAATGAAATAAAGGGACTCACCAATTCCCAAATTCTCCAGGTCAAGTTAAATATAAACATAATATTAATTTATTAAAATAGTGATTTATAAAACTGCATGCACGGAGAAGCTGATTTCGAATTAGCCAGAAGAAGTTAGTTTAAAAAAAAGTTAGTTTAGACAATAACAATGAAGGTTAAATTAATGTTGTAGGGACAGACTGCTTTTAAGCCCTGAAGGAGTTAACGTGTCCTTGTGTGCCTCAGAATCAAAAAAGAGGTTATAAAGGGTCCCCACTCTGCCTTGGGTGAGGAAGCAATTTGTGCCACCCTTCTTCCAGATTATCACATTCTTTCTGTAGCATCAGCCGTAACATGGGTGGGGGAGAAAGGGGAGACAGAAATGATAATGCGAGACCCAGCAGCTTCTTTGCCTGGCAGGGGGAGCAGCAGAGCTGTAACAGCTGCTCTTCTAAGGCAAGTAGCTCACAAGCGTCGGAAGGGTTTGTCTTCCTCTGTAGTACTGCCTAACGCATCCATATAATGCAGGTCACAACTGCACTCCACTAATCCTAAGCAGAGCCTGTAATAGGTTGGCTTTCTCGTTATTTTGCTGTGTTAATATGAAATAAATAGGAAAAGACACAACACTGTAGGAAACGAATGAAAGCTGTAATGTTAACAACCTCTTCCTCTGGATTTGTATTGCTATTTTCCATAAACGCTTCAGCAATGTGAAACCACTGCCTTTGCACACTGCCTCCTTCATTAATGTTACCTACTAACTACCGCCGGGCTGCTTCAGCTGAACGGTCTTTTAACATTTCTATTGCTAACTCAGTACTTCCGAGCTTATACCTTTACTTAATTCAAACCATGATGGAAAAAATACTGCTTTGCATTTCACTTCTCTAAATTTTAGTTAAATGTATACAAGACTTCATTGTAACTACAGATTAGTCCGGTCATACTAAAATACGTAATAGTACAGAATTATTTTAGCTGAAGTGTTATTGAGAAGAATACAATGCTAACTACTAATGTTAAAGATCTGACTTGGTTTTCTTTCTTTTCACTGACATGCTCATCATCTGGCTGGAGGTGGAGCAATATTCTTTGCCACACATACATATGCAATATTGTATTTCAAGATTAAGACCCTTCAGTGCAAGCAAAATGACAAATTAAAGTGAATTATGAAATAGTTTTATGAGCACAAGCATAACGGTTCAGCCAAACCAGACAGTCTTAACATCAACTTCTTACAAAACGTCTTCAGATGAAAATATTTTACAAAAATAAAAATTACATTGAATCACAGGCATAATGAAAAAAATCATTCAACATAAAATTATAGTCAACTTCTACAAAAAGATACTAATTCCAGATACAGTGAAATAAGTTATTCTCATGTATTTGATATCACACTTGCAACATTGATTATAATCTGTGAATAGGAGAGAAAAATAAATCAGGCGTCCATAGATTCGAACCCCTTTGGAGTTCTCAACCTGTCTGTATTCTATCAAGGAATTCAACACTACAATATCTCATCTTATCATAATATTTAGCACAAGTCTAACTTTTGCATTTATACATGTTTATAGCCACTACACGCAAGTTGAAATATCCCAAATTAAAAAAAGCCTTGAAAGTTTGTGGCCTAAAAAATGGTGACAAATCCAGCAGTTGCATGGAGGGTCAATGCTAACCTGCAGCTGTGTCAGCAAGCTGTGGGGAAGGTGGCATCTGTGCCATTCTCTGACTCTTCAAAGAGGGAAAGAAATTTCTCCAGAGAGCAGTGGCGACAGCAAGGTGGTGCTCTTTAGCCGCTAATGGAAGCTGTGCATTTGCGCCCGTGTTCCCTAGCTGAAGTCCCTGGCTTACACGTTTGTGCACGCTCCTAGGGAGAAACCAAAAAAATGTTTACACTCGATAAATGAAAAATTCAGATCTTTTAAAAATGCATTCACAAGAACTTTAAACTGGAGAGTCTGAGAACTGAAGGATCATTTCGTGTAATTAAAACCTTTATGCAAAGACATTATGCGTACCAGTTATTTGATGGATGAATGATGGCATATTAAGTACCATAAAGTTAATGTTAATTACTAATGTCAACCATTAATTATATGCTTTTTAATATGTCAGATCAAAATGAGAAATAGGCAGCTTTAAAACGAACGTTTGCATTTTGCAACTGCTAGCATGACAAACAAGTCTGCTTACAATCCAAAGCCAGATGCTTTTTCAAATTTTTGTCAATAAGGCTTTTAGGATAAGGCTATGTGCAGTAAATAATGGCAAATGATTTTGCTCTATTGTACAGCTTCCTTTTAAAACCTATTTGTCATTTGTAAAACCTCACCCGATACAAGTTTTGATAAGAGAACAGATTCATGCTATGCTGATGCGCTGCAGACAATTAGATTTGACAGCAATGCCCATAGCTTTGTTAGTACAGTAAGGACAAAAGTTACCACTACACATAACTCCCATCTCTTCCTGAGACAATGTGGCATGAATTCAATAACGCACTCAATTTTCTTTGATTCTTCTAGTACCATTCCCGCTACTTAATCTAATTTGGAAGTTGTGACTTTCTAGAGGTTTAATAGAGATATGTCTGCAGGGAATCAATGTTCTCAGAGAAACGGGGGGCGGAGGGGGAAGCATTACTAAATTTGTCTGGTAGAGCAGCATAGGAGGCATTACTGCACTGGACTGATCAACTAAATAACATGCTTATTAAAAACAAGCTGTAGGAATGCACTATCATTCCTGTTCCTATTTATCTTCCGGTCAACTCAATTGAGATTGTGCATTAAAGCACAGGCAGCATTATTACATTTGCTTTATTAAATTCTATAAACAGCACTGTACAGTCGGAGTCAAGATATTTATAAGATAGTGGCAAACAACGAAGGCATCGAGACTTGCCTTAACACTAACGTTTGTAGACTACTATGATTTTTTAAAACTGCCACTGTCACAACAGCAAGCATTTCACAAAACTGTCTTTTCTCCTCAATCTTTAATCTGTGCTCATCCTAATTTGAAATAAAACAAAATAAAAACAGAAAAAAACTCCAGCCCCTAGTTCCCTTCTGGGAATTTGGGAGAATTATAAAAGAATTACACAACTCACAGCACTCATTAGGACATCTGAAATGGAATAATTTTAAATAAAGAGTAGGCTGGCTGCAAGGCCTTCACTTACTAGGGTTGATATTAGAAGCGCATCTCATTATATCAAATTAGTATCCAAAAATTCTGCCTAACACATAATTTAAAACATAAAACATACTGGCTGTCAAAGGTAACGATACCTTATGCCTGCCTGCAGGCATCCATTAGCTTCAATAGGACAGACACAGAGAACTGAGTATCAGCTACGTTTTGAATGGCTACATTTAAGAGATACGGAAGGGTATGTAATATTAAGAGGAATCAAATATTTCTTTGAGATACAACTGCAGTCCAAACATAGCAACAGAAGCCAGGAATTCCAAACCCAATCCCTAACCCAACATTTATTGCCTCTGTGGCTTCACATAAATCATACAGCCTTGGTTAGCCTCAGTTTCCCAGCCATGATATTTGGATAGTACGACAGCTTACCCTTTAAGGGTGCTGTGAAAACTATCAGAGCTTAGAAACTGAGGATTATACTCAAGATGTCAGTTGGTACTCCCATTTGCAAGGCATGTTTTCCAAGATGAATTGAAAAAACAAGTGAGGTTAGCTTAAAAAGTCAAGCAGTGCTTCTTCGGGAATTTCCCGTTATTAAAAAAAAAAAAGGATAAACAAAAGGGTGCAAAAGAAACAAGGTCAAGAGGATGAACAATGAAAAGGTAAATGAAGGGCTAAAGAAGCCAAGTTTAACAGTAAAAAGGGCTTTTCCATTTTATTTTGTTAAAAAGGGAAAAATCTAATACAATACAATGCCTCATAGTGCAGAGAATAAAACGCCATGGACCAAATTCTGCCCTACTTCCATCTAGACTAAACTGTAAAATTGCACAAAGACCTTTTTCTCTCCTCTAAATTGTCTCTCCAAAGAAGGATGGCTTGCATCTCCTTTAGCCATCTATGCAAAGTAGAAGGGTGTACAGACTTCCAAAGTAAGGTAATATATCTCTGTGTCAGTGGAAGGGCAACATGTACAAATCAGTATTTATGTTTATTCATAGTAACCTACACAAATGCTTGCAATGAGGTAAATGCTTAGAATCAATAGGGCATCAATATTTGCTGCAGCTTATGTAGCCAGCCACTTCTACCAACAAGCAAATGTATTTAATTCCACAAAAATGCTGATAAATACAATTTTTATTTTTATTCAGGTTTTTTTCTAACGTTAGACAAGCGTATCATCAAACACTGTTCCATTTCTGAAACTATATATATCTGATTTTCCATTGTCTTAAGACTTGTGGAACCACCGGTTGCCTCATTACAATGATAATAACTTGGTGTGTTTTCTTCTTGTTTTAAATCCTGGATTTTCCATTTCTGTAAAAAGAGGTATTTTTTTCTTTTTGCTAGAAGATCAAATAAACCCCAGGTTTACAAAAGAAAGGAATGTTTGTGCACCCTGAGTGAGGAATGTGCCGGACTTATAAATATGGCAGTAGTATGCAGGATTATTTTCCATGTCCTACACCTGGGTAGGGAACTGAAACCATTCATTTGGATGCAGATATTGTAATGATAAACCATGCCTTTGCTTCCTCAAGCCTGGATTACCAAAACATAGTGAAACTTTAGGTCAAACTGGAAAAGTAAAACACACAAAATGCAGAAGCCTGCCTACACAGTGGAAACTGAAGTCACTGCTACTCCATAATCTGCGCTGGCTGCACATTGGCTCCTAGAAATATCATGCCATTTAATTTGATCTATAAAGGCTTAGCACACTGCAACGGGACAGGATGCCTATCTCCTCTTCCCACCAATACCACAGGTGGGACTAGCAGAGACACGGGCCACCATCCTCCATGGCTCACAGACGCTGCTTTCTTCACAGGTAGTGCTCCCAGCTCCTGTGCTCCCAGGCCAGGCCAGGTGGTACCCACAGAACCCGAATGTGCAACACAGCCAAGATTAAATTCTGGGAAGTCTTTTTAAAAGCTCTGAATGACCTTTTGATGTTGAAGCACACAGACTGAGAAAAACCATCAGCAGAACCAACACCACTGGTAAAACTAGGGAGACTGGGTAAAGATATATGAGATATTTCTAAAATGATAAATGGCTTTGATGCTTAGAATTTTAAACAACAACATCGGTTCTTTCAAGAAAAAGTCAGAAGTAAAATGAAACAAAGCATCAGTTTGATTCAAAGACAGGTAATAATAGGAGTTTTGTGCCCTCCGCAGATCAATGGACCTGAATAATACAACACTGACACTTCCCTTCCAAACTCTCTCCCTCTTGCTGCCTCACTGTAAGACTTTCAATCCAGTTTCTTGTTTTGATATTTTGGCAGCAAATGCATTTTGGCTAGGTTGTATTTTAATGTTGCCATAGTGGTGTCAGAGGTAACCAAAGTGCTGAAGGGAAGCTAAGGCTCCATCAGCTATGCGGTAATTATGAAGATTTTAGCACAAGAACTAAAAAGATATGGAAGTAAGTTGATCCAGGGAACAAAAAACCTGAGTTTTGATTTCAGTGAAAAGACAGAACAGCTTTACATTCTTTTGACAAAGCCCAGAACATGGAGGTGACGTCAACGACTGTGAAACGTGGACAGCAATAAAAAGTTACCAACCTAATATCTCCTAAAAATCAAAAATCACATTAACGCAATGAAAAGCATATTTGTTTCTGCTGAAGGGATCAGCAACAAGATATACAATAAAGATGGCATGACAATGAAATCCAAACTAAAATGCCAATGTTAACAGTACTCCATTCCCTAAGGAAAGGTGTTTTTGCTTCCCTTCCCTTCCCTTCTCGCTTGTCAATACAAATAGATTATATAGCACTATTGTATGGCAAAACATTGGGCTTTCCTATAGAAATCTATGCAGCCACACTTTCTGCGGCCATACAAATCATACTGTAGTGATACACTCAAAATTTGTGCTCTTACTACAGGAACAGAACTGTGAGATCTCTCCTAGAAAAAGACAGAGCAGTTCATTCAGCTTTGATGGCCAAACAACATTTACTAAGCGGCATTTCTGAAGTTAGTTCAAAATTACTCACTCAATTTCACTTTCTTCAAACGTCAAAAAACACCAAGACTTCTTTAACACCTCTGCTCATTTCTTCCTTTCCTTTCCCTTCGACTGTTGCTTCTTACGATGACTAGAATCGTTTAAGTAAGCTTTCGAAAAAGCCATAAAAGTTCCCAGTAATTAGTTCTAACCAGAATTAAGCTGGAAGAGATGTTCTCCATACGCCTTTGAAAATAATTCAGGTATAAGCATTCATCTAGTTGACTATTGTGTCTTTTAGTTATACGACAGTTACACTACAACTATAGCACTTACTTCATTGATTCATATGGATACTAACTCCCATATTAAAAAACTCACTCTTCAACCTCTACTTAGTAACTTGCTCATAATCATTTATTTATTTCAAAGTCTCTGATCCAAATACACAGTTTATACTAAATATATGTAGCTTTCTGAAACTGCAACCCATTACATAACCATAAAATATAATGCAAAGAAATCAGTGGGAAGAACAAGTCTGTAGAAAGAGTTTGTTATTTTTTATACAAAATTTTTTCAAAAAAAATATATAAAAAAAGCTAGTTTAAAAGCTACTTTAAATGCCATTCAACAAAGGCAGGGTCCAAAAGGTTGCAGCTGAGTTCAGGTCCGCTTTCATGAAATACCAAGGTGTAATCTGGATGCACATCAGCTTTCCTTTTCTTTTTATTTCCAA